AAAACCTACAACTTCATGTCAAAATGGCCGCCATGAAACAGGATGTAAACCAGGTGTTACTCATCACTGTGCCTCAACAGCACAGAACCTGCATTAATGCCATTAGCAACACACGTGTACACCGACTATTTCATGTCTTAACTGTGAAAGAGGAAAACAACACGTCAACATCGGTGTGAAAATGTCTTGTTAACATCTTTAACGGCAACTTGAAGGCCAAGGTCAAAGGCTCGGCTGAGGACACTAAAAACAGCCCAAAACAGCCGCCGTTCATCCCATCAGTCACAAATCTGACACCACACTTCCTCTGGTCCCTAGAAATGCACCTGCCAAGTTGGAAAGTGCTTGAATGTACAGTTATTGTGACACACAAAGGCTTAGAATTTTGGAATAGAATGGAAGGTGTTCTAGAACATAAGAATACCAGGTGGAGACATTTTCAGTTTTTCTTAGTTCAGAAGACAACAGGAGTTACCAGGAGTTACCAGGAGTCCAACATCGAAGGAAAGCCAAAGGACGAAGCTTTTTTTTGAAGTAAGTCACTGTTGTTCTACTGAGCTTCACAGGAAACATTCACAACGTCCTTTTTTCCATCAGTTTTGTTCCAACATAGGTCAACACATAATGAAACAAGTCAGAATAATATCTAAGACTTTGTTGTGCAGTTGTTTTATAATGAATACTAAATATCTAGCAACTTTTTTTTACTGAAAATTGAAACCATAACTGTGTTGGAGGTGATCAATGTGTTCAGGTTTGAGGATAGGTGTACAACTAAAACCAACCAGGACTCCTCTAACAAAACTATTTCCTGCCTCATGAGCACAACACAAAGTGTGTTTAAAGTGTTCAAAGATAAAACTTGTTGGCAAGTCACTGTGTCGTTTTCAAGCTCAGCACACCTTCTTAAACTTAACTCAAACAATACACACAAAAAAATCCACCATTTTCAACAAATACATCCCATAATTAAACCAGTATTCACAGGTAAATGCGTTTGTCTAAACACATATTAGTCAACTCATCTCTAACTCACTTCAGAATATTCACTTATTTT